AAAGACCCCCCCCTCCCTGCACACACACACACACACACACCCTCCCCCCGCCCCGGTCCCTTCCACTCCCGACACACGCACGCACGCACACACACACACACACACACACACACACACACCATTGATCAATATTTGGCTGTCTTGCTGCAACTTGCTGCAGTCTTTTAAAGGAGTAGTAGCGGGAGAGAGGGAGAGAGAAAGGGGAACTGACAGGAAGGGGTAAGGAGCTACACATGTCACATGTGCTTTCTAAGACGGCCAGGAGCATCTGCAGGCTGGATCTGGTGGAGGATGCTGCGGCAGGTGATACACAGAGGGCTCCAGTCGTTTTTCTACAAGCTGGGCTTATTCGTGAGCAGGCATCCGGTGTTTTTCCTCACTGTGCCCGCAGTCCTGACCATCATCTTCGGCTTCAGCCTGCTCAGCCGCTTCCAGCCTGACACTGACCTGGAGAGCCTGGTAGCCCCCAGCCACAGCCTGGCCAAGATCGAGAGGAGCTTAGCCAGCAGCCTTTTCTCCCTCGATCAATCCAAAAGCCAGCTATATTCGGACTTGCACACCCCGGGGAGGTATGGCAGGGTGATTCTCCTCTCCAAACCCGGAGGCAATATTTTGCATCAGGCTGATGTGATCCTGCAGATCCACCGAGCTGTGCTGGAAATGAAGGTGAACTACAAAGGCTATAATTATACTTTTTCCCATCTGTGTGTGTTGAGAAATCAGGATAAGAAATGCGTGCTGGATGATATTATTTCAGTGCTAGAGGATCTGAGGCAGGCTGCCCTCTCCAATAAGACAACAGCCAGGGTGCAAGTGAGCTATCCCAACACTAAATTAAAGGTATGCTCTTACTGCATGCTTTTGCCAATTAAAGAGGCAGCACTTCATTTCTTGTCCTAAACAGCAAAGAGAAATATAATCATATCTATCTTTCTATACATAGATATGTGTGATGTGAGCTTTCCTCGGAAAGCAGCTGAAACTGGTGCTTTGCTATTGTTCGGTACGAGGAGGGAGGTTGGGGGGACCGTGCGCTGAGAAAGCGGGTGAAGCAGTAAGTGCAGAACACCTTTGGGACTGTGAGACCTTGCAATGTCTTGAAGGGTTAATGCATCGTGGGAAAGGAGCAGAAGGTCTGCAGCCCGCTGGATTGAAAGCTAGGGTTTCACTAACACCTATTCCGACCTCCCTGACGTGGTAGGGTAATTTGTCTTTAACATGACCAGAAAAGGCTTTCCTCAAATGCACAGTGAGCTCCTGTGTCTCCTTGCTTCTGTGCGTGCCATAGAAGCAGTAGGAGGTTTGGCCAGGAGTGATTTCAGGTGTCCTGCTGTCTTTTTCTTTCTCTTTACCTGCATGGTAAGAAGGGGAAGGGAGGTGGAATTTTTTCTCTCAGTGTGAAAATAATTAGCTCTGCCACTGATGGATGGGCTGGAGTTTTGGGATGGATCCCATCAGGCTTCCAGCAAAGGCAAAACAAGGTAAAAGGTGAAAGAAGTTTCAGTCTTTCCAATTGCAAGAATAAATAGTTCAGTATAAATGATCTCAGGGATGCTTCCCTGGCACGCTAGCCCACACTGGCTTTCCTTCTCATCAGGGCCGATTCGGTTCACCAGGACTAACCTGCTTTGAGCAAATCGGGTGCAAAGTTTGCAGGTGGCTAGTGGAGGAAGTTTCCACAAATTACAGCAAATCTCCAGCCTCCTGCAAGCATTGCACCGGAGGTAGGTTTTATTTAAATGAGTTTAAAAAAAAATCCCCTGGCACACAGTTAAACATGGATCAGGTCCTAGGAAAGAGGATACTGTCCTTCTAAGTCAGAGAGGCTCCTAGTGGAGAGGCTCCTGTCCCTCTCTTTTGTCAATGAGATCCTTGGGGACAAGGGAGGCAGTGTCACTTCAAGTCCTGGCCGTTATCCTGAAGTTATCATTTGTTTCCTACTGCTCAATTACCAGGCAAAAAAATAAAAAGCATTCCCCATCCTAAAAGCAGAAGCAGAGACATGAATTGATTTTATTGGTCTTTTTGGTTCAGGAAAAGGGTAAGGTGAGACACCTGGGATTTGCTCCCATTGCACTAGATGTTACTGCAATTGCTTTGTGCGGAGTAGTGAGTGAGCTGAGTGTGTGGAACTGCAAAGGTGTCCTTGCTGCTGCCCAAAGGTCCTGAGTGCAAGGAGGGCTAGGAAACGCAGGGAGTTTTCCTGGGTTAAATATCCCTGAATACATTGTGTCTTTTAGTTCACTGTGAAGACAATTCTGCTATTACATAATAGAAGTGCTGTCTTTCCATTTTGATTACTTTTAAAGTCAGGATTAAGCTGATTCAGTGGAGACACTGATAATCTGGACAAACTTTGTCAGCGACTGGCCTTATAAAGAAATAGTAGTTTTACCTCTCTTAATCCAGATTAATTTCCTTCTGTGGAGAAACACTAACTGAGCCTGTGAAAACTAGATAGGGCCATGTGCTACCCGTTATTGTTTGTTTCAGATTAATTTCCTTCTGTGGAGAAACACTAACTGAGCCTGTGAAAACTAGATAGGGCCATGTGCTATTATTGTTTGTTTGTTTGTTTGTTTGTTTGTTTTAATCAGGACAGTGCCTATAGTTCCTCTGGTTTGAAAAGATAAAAGGAATGTAGATGAACATGTCCCAAATTGGAAATTTAATGGGATGAAAGTGATAGGTAAGTAATTAACACAGAGGAAGATTTTCCCAAACCATAAAGGTCTGATTCTGAGGGATGCTGAATATCCACCTAGCACTTCTAAACTCCCGTGTAGTTATTGCATATCATTTTCCAAGTGAAGGAGTATATGCCCTTACATGTCTGGTTTTAAAGCTGGACAGAGCTGGGAGCTTTCTACCCACTTCTCAGTAAAGGGAGGTAAAGCAGCCAAAATCTGAGACTGCACTTTAAAGAAAAGCTAACGATTCCAACCAGTTTCTGCAGAAAGGGAGAATTTTTGGTGTTGCTGAGGAAGCTGGAGTGGAAAAGCATGAGCTACCCCAGAAACACACTTTGGCAGGGCTTTTTCTTTCCCCTTCGGTAAGGACGCATCTGCGGTGCTGTGGTCAGCCTGGGCTGGCCTTCAGCGACTGAGTGTCCTGAGAGCCACCTCCTCCCGTCTCCCTGGCTCCAACTGCTGGGGATTAAATTACTTTTGTTCCTTCGCATGGATTAATTTGCTTGGTGAGCCCCCTTCTCCATCATCCCCATGCCCTGTCTACCAAGATGGCTGTGTTAGGAAGTTGTGGGCAAACATCTCTTGGTCTCCTTCAAGCTGTGGTCAGGATCGCAGTTTGAGCAGGCCTCCTGGATGTATTTGCTGCCTCCCCTCTCTCCACATCTCTGAGGGGGGGCTGCAGAAACCCAGGCATCTGCAGCTTGTCCCATTGTCGTCAGGATGTGTTTAGAGAGAAATTTAGAGAGAAACCTTAGATGCTGCACCCGCAAGGGAACAACCTCTCTGGCAGTAGTTATGAGAGGCTTTTTTATTTCTTCTTACTTGAATCATGAAAGGAAACAAAAGTTATGGCTGGACCTAATGGGAATGCAAAACAGAGGGCTAAACTGGCTACCTTTACTCAGTATGGAGCAGGGCTTGTCACACTTATTGGTTGATGTCCTTGGGATCTTTCTCAGCTAAACTTCCCTGCAGGCATAAGGACCCACCAGCATCTTCCAGGTTCACTCACATTCTCAAAGGCCGTGTTGCTTAGTAAATACTGATAGATTTTGCCAGTCTTATTTTCTAATAATGGCCTCAGATGGAATGAAATTTTTCTAAGAACAATATAGTGGGATTATAAACTGGGAAGGTGTCCCAGACGTGCTTAGTCTGCGGCCAACATGGGGTGAGCACCAACCTGTACTTGTCTGACACCCAAAATGGCAATCTCAAGCCATTCCAATCCCTCTTCTGCTCCCTCTGAGAGCTATAAAAGCCTCTTGCAGTTTTTTTTTCCCCTTAAGCGCTGTAAGCCACTCACATTTTGTCCCACTTCTTGCCTCCTGCTGGGGCCCAAATTTGTTCAATTAGCTCAGGTAGGTGAGGCCAACTGAAGGCTGATGGTAAGTGAGCTCTTGCCAGATCTTTCATGGGAGCTTTGTGTGAGCAGTATGAGCAGGTTTCAGCAGGCTGGTCTGGTTGTGAAACAGCTGTTTTGGGGGCTGCAAAATCTAATGAAACTGCTCGGATTTTCCTAAGAAAATCTGTCTGTGAAGGGTAATGACCATTTAATCGTTACTTACTGTAGAATCGGAACAGCTTACAATCTTGAATACATCTATCTTCACAAGCTCTCTGTCCATAGGGAAGTCCTGTTCTCTCCATTTGACAGTGGAGGAGCGAGGCACCTCCACAGTGCAGACTGCAGCGTAGTTTCAAATACCTGAGAAGAGTTTATTTCTGCTGTGGCAATGGAGGGGGTCACTGCAGGCTAGTTTATTCTTCTGAGAGGCCAAGTAAATGAAACTGTATGGACATGCCTGCTCCCACTGCTTTCAGGACCCGGGCGAGCTTGTTTACGGCTATTTCTATGCTACGCTGCAGTCTGCAGCCCAGCCAGAGGAGTGACTTGCCCAAGGTCACACCGATAGACTGTGGCAGAGCAGGAAACCAGAAATGGATGTGTGGAGTCTTGGACGGAGCCTTTTCTTTAAGTCCTGGAGCAAGATTGCTTGTGCTTTCCCCAGCCCGGGCAACACAGCAACATTCTTGTGCTTGAGGTCTGGATTGTGCCCTAATCACAAAGACGGGGTAAGTTTACACTGAGCACTGACCCTCAGTCATCACAGTTAAATTGCAAGCATGGTTCCTGGCAGGATTTTTGTCAATGGGCAGTCTTCCAGCATATTGGCATATCTTAGGACTTGGCATGGATCAGGGTCCGATCCCGGTACATCGACTCTGTTCTGGGGAAAAAGGAGAGTATCTGCACGGATATGTTGTGCCCCTGCCCTCAAGGCCAGAATACGGTCTGTGGTACATTTTATTTATTAGTATAGACAAAATTATTGATTACAGTGGGATTACTTTGTGTGTGCTGTCAGATATGAGGAAGGAGATTGTTTTTTGACTCTGATTTGTCGGTAACCCCAGCAAATTTGCTGACCTTTTCAGTAAAACAAAACACTAAAAACATAGTCCTAACTTAGAAAAAAATACAAGCTCACAAGCATTTTTTTTCTTGTATTTCACCTTTATTGTTTCTTTTCATGTTTATTTGCTAGTTTTTCTGAAAAAAGATGATAACTGAGAACTTCTTACCTATCTGAGATCAGAATTAAAGTGGTAACCACTGGTTAAAAGGAGCTTTTGTAAGCAGATTGTTTTTTGTAATACCGCTTCCAATTAATTAAGTATCAGTCTTTTTTGAACACTGGGCTAAACAGCAGCCTATAAAACGGACATCTCTATTATCACAATTGTGATAAGCGTATCAGCTGAATATTGAATCCTTTATTGCTTAAGTAGAAAAATTACTTGCATTCACTTAGCGTCTCGAAACCTACAATTGCAGATTCACTACTGGCCACATTCTCAATTGTTCTCATGCTAATAGCTGTACTTTTAAATGAGTCTTGCTCCATTTGCATTTGAGGAGTCTTTCCCACTAGTCTAAAATTAGCCCCTCATTAGATGACTCTGAGGCACCAGCCACCAACATGGGGCTGAGAGTACATGAGACCCCTTGGACCAGAGTAGGCATGTGCGTATCAGTAACACCCACAAACTGATCACTCCTTCTGTGAAGCTGGTTCAATGTGTGAGATTATGCTCACTCCAGAGACCAGCTTTTGTTAGGCAAACGTCCTCCAGACGCTTCCTCTG